TTGGTTAATAAATTTGATTTCCATTGATGATTTTTGTGTTTTTGTGTGATTTTGTACAGAACAAAGTATTCAATGAGAATATTTCATTCATTCAGATCTAGGATGTGTTATTTGAGTGGCATCCAATGTTCCGTGCCCAGTTTTACCATAATAACCTAAAATTAAATCCATCACAACCGATTTCTTTCAGAAGTCACAGTAAATGCAGTCAACTTGCATTTAATTTATTCTCTGTATAAACGTATTTGTTAGTCATTGTTGTCATGAAGAAGGGAACACAGCAGGAACAAGGCAGACGGCTCAGGGATAAAGTTGTGAAGAAGCTTAAAAGAGGGATGATAATCATTCGTTCCCAAAGTTTTCAGGTCTAACACCAAAAGGGGGGGAAAATTTCAAAGGTTTTTTTTTCCCCCAGTCGTTTCTTATGCATGCATTATAGTAACTTACTAATAAAAGTAAATGAGCCACATCAAACTGGCTGCCATTTTTAGACGCAACCAGCCAAACATGTTAAGCATCCCGTGAACTAAAAGAAAAAAAAAGAAAAGAAAAAAACGTAATTAACTCATAAGTGGTCCCAGGTGTGATCGATGAGAGGCGGGATTTTATTACCAAGTCCAGCCAATGAGGGCCCAGAGCAGGAGCCGTCGGACTTTACAAGCAGCCTTTCAACATTTGTCACAAGCGCTACACTGACCTATTCAAGCTTGCGATACGTGTTGCTTTTGTGTGCCACAGCCCATTCAGTGCGAACAAATCCCATTTCCTCCCATTGTTTCAGGTTATATACTCGCCCTAGTGTCTCCTTTTTTTATTATCCGGTGTTTAGCAGAAACTCCCACAGGATTGTGTGGAACCTAAACACGTCGCCACAATCCTTAACGGTGAATAAAGTAATTCTGGTGAGTTTTTTTTTTTTTTTTAATGGGATAACGTAGTACGCGTCATGTCTGTTTGCAAAGTGACGTTTTTAAATCGGCTTGATAACCAACGGGATACGTACGTGCCCGTATTGATACGTCTATGCCAAAAGTTCGCCCTTTTAATGCAGCCATTAAACGTAGCAGAAGAAGCTGGTGCACTGCCTCGAAACACAACGCAGCCAAACGCGTGTCTTACCGTGTTCAGGACTTTGTGGAAGTACATGAAGCTTATGGCCACCGCGACCGTCTGCAGGAGGATAGCTGCGAGTATTGTGAGGCCAAGGCACTGGAGGG